AAATGAACGCCAAGCCGCTATTGCTCTAGAAGAGCTTTCGCTGCACACACACCAAACCGTACAAAAACATATACAATCACACACAGGCATGATTTCAGTATCTGGGTCTCTTCACTAAGGTACCTCTCCAAACCCCCCCCCCCCCCCCCCCCAAAAAAAAATAATAATATTAATTGCTGTAAAAGGAACAAAAAAGAAAAAAAAGGAACTTTTGGTTTTACCCGTTTTGGCCCGCCTTGTAGATTGAATGTAAGGTCCGTGCACGACCCTGGCTCTTCATGAATATGGCCGTGAAGCCCGAGCCCGGCCCGCGGACTGACCCGTAACCGTGTAGACTTCTACTGCGCACGCGTTGACAGTTCAGTGACTCGACATTTTTTGCCTGATTGACGAGCACCGGAAAGGGCCTTGTAAAATCTCGCTACAGAGGACGAGAGAGAAAGAAAAAGAGAGACAGTAAGAGAGTGTGAGAGAGAGAGAGAAAGATACCTTTAGAAATGACGTTGTAGAGATGAATAAAGCAAATGCTTTACCAGGAGAATAAACATTTACTTCGCTCATTTTCATTAGAAATCGTGTCTACAGCACCAAATCCTTCCCTATATTGGTGGGCACTGCCCGCTTCTGAGAGAACAGATGAGCATCGAGCTGTGCACGCTGTCGCGCTGTGCCGAGGGAGAGGGCTGCCGTTGACGCACTGAGACACCGGATTTGCCCAGGCAGCAGAGACGGTTGTCTCCGCTGTCTCGACGGGTTCCCACGACGGCGGCAGCCATCCCTTCCAATTCAAAAGTGAAAGAAAATCCCGAGGTTGAGCGCGTGTCCAGCTATTCCAACTAGCAAAGCCTGTCGGTGCCAAGGTAATTAGATTTTCGCGGCCCAGGATCTATCCTTTGTGAGAGTAGTCGTCATAGCCGCCGGCAACGTTGAAGGGGCCGTGAAACGTTATTGGGTTTGAATGTTCATGACTTTGCTGAGGCGTACTTCGCCTAATGTGGCCCAAGTGTACTCGCTCAGACCGCCACCGCTTCAGTAGCTTCTTTGTCGCGGTGACATTGTTAGGGTAAAAAGAAAAGAGGGACTATTTATTTCAGTCTTGCTTCGCAAAGCTTGATGACATAATTGTGGGATCGAAACCCTCCGCCTGACGACAGTCGAGCGCGGCTCGTGGATTGGACGCGAGAACTGCGTGAGCACTCGACTTTGGCTCGTAAGAATCAATGCCTCGGCGGACACTCGGGTTGTGGCTAGTGTCCAACCCCTGTGGCGGCGAGAATAGCCGCACTCTAACAATGCCTGGAGCTCAGCACGCGTTTTCTACTTTGCCGACCCCAGCGTGTGGCTATTATTAACGTTGGCGGAATAGGATAGGAACCGGGCCACGTGGCCGCTTGTTCTGGCTCTGTGTTGAAGGAATGAACGATGCTCATATTTCTAAAAATCTTTTTTGGCAACAGCCAATGCATAGAAAGAGAAGCTAAGGCAATTGTTTTTTTGGTTATTAACGTTAGGGAGCGATTCTGAGTAGTAATTAGCGAAAGCAGAAAAATCGTTTCATGGTTCCTCTAAGAAAAAGCAGGGCGTCACAAGTGCCGAACATCATATTGTCGCTTCGCACCCAATTAGATTGCCGCGTTAGCTGATGAAAACACCAAAGAACAAAATCGCGATACCAAAAAGCATGAGCATAACAATAACGTAACATATCGTGATTTTGTCCTTCGGTATTTTAGCAGCTGACATGGCACTCTCCTGCGGAGCAATAATGGCAATACTGGAAACATGACACGCCCTGTAATCCTTAAATTAACGGGACAAAACAAAAACAAGAAAACTGAGTGTGGAGGCCACCTGGCGAGCATTAATAGTTATGTATCACCAGAGACTGTAATGCGGATTATTAGGAAACTTGCAAGTCAAAGGAACAGACATCAACTAAAGAACGTCTCAGCCGAGACGTTTTCTATGTAGTCTTTTCCTTTGACCGGGAAGTTTCTTAATTTTCCTTACCACAGCTTCAAGTGTTACAATATTGTAATTATGTCGTCAATAACTATATATATATATATATTATTATTATTATTATTATTATTATTAATCATGTTGAAGTAACCTGAGACTGGGGTAGAGAAGAAACAGCAAAACATGGAAGGGACAGAAAATAGACTGGGCGACGTCTCAAACTCAGCTAACTCGTTCATTTAGTGCACTTCCTTATATAGTCTCAATCTCAAGGTCATCTCCACCAACACAAAACACAAAAGTGTTTTGTGTTGGTGGAGATGACCTTTTGTGTTGGTGGAGATGGCCTTGAGATTGAGACTATATAAGGAAGTGCACTAAATAAACGAGTTAACTGAGTTTGAGACGTCGTACTGTCTATTTTTTGTCCCTTCTACGTTTTGATGTTTCTTCTCTACCACTGTCTCAGGTTAATTCCACATGGTTAATATTCACCAGCTCGCCTGCATCCTTACGATTTTTTTAATATATTTTATGTTGGCTTCCTTCTCTCTTTTACCAGACACGTTTTCTACCTTGGTGACGCGGCTGCTCGAGGAAGATAACAGGAAATGGATCAAGAGCGGAGCACCCCTTGACGGAAATTGCTGCGCTCTATTCGAACGCGTCAAGCGATCGATTCGGCATTCTGCTCTGTCCTCGGGGATCCGCGGCGGTGCTGCATAAACAAACTGCGGACACAAAACGGTCAACGCTGTCCGGGCAACCTTGGTTCTGGCGCCGAGGGGCGTCTCACACCGTCGCGTGGAATTCCCAATCGAGCATGTGGGGGCCGACGGTGAACGGAGTAGAAGGCGTACTCGGTTCTCCCCTAAAGCGACAGCGCGGTGGAAACCAGAGCTACTTGGATTAGTCACACGTACGATGACGCTCCGACCGATGCCCTCATGCAGGGAGCGAAGTCGGGTGACGAAAGAGAGGCGGTTGATTTGTCCGGCGAGCACGTATAGTTCCCACTGCACTGTCAGCGTGGCTGTTATCAGAGCGTAGAAAAAGACGAGGAGGCGCGGAATGGGGACCGGAGGAATTGAAATGGGATTCCGCGGAGCCCGTGAGAAAGTGCTGTTGGAGCTCCGAGTCCAAGCGGTCGGAAGACACGGGTGGGCGCCTTGAGGTTTATGGTAATGCGCTCATCTGCTTTCGGTGTCCGCGGTCGAGGGTATTTCGGGAAACGAGACTGGGTAGCGAGCGGATCGGGGAAGCGAGAAGCCTCAAACGCGGCGGCAGGTCACCAATAGGCTCGCTGTCATATAACGGATAGGAGAGACACATCTGTGAAAGACGCGTTAAGGGGATTAATGGCCGAGTGGCCTAGCGCACACCAGCTTGGAGCACGTAGAGGGGAAGCTCGCGCTGGAGAACCCAGGGGTACTGGGCTCAATCCCCCAGCCCTACCCGTTTGGATGAGCATCGTGCGCTAGAGATACACGTGCGGTCGTGTATACCTCTAGTGCGTGATGCACGTCAAAGACCCCATACTGGTAGTGGTGCTGCACCGGCTAAATTTCTCATCTACAGCGTAAACGAGTGTCGCCGCGCTTCAAAGGCAGACCGACCCAATTACGCCGTATAAACACGAACGTCAAATTTTGTGCATGTATTTGTTTGGTTGGGAGAAGCATTTTAGGCACTGCAGTAGTACTGAACTCGTCTTTGACGTCACGAACCGTAGTAAAAAAAAAAAAAAAGTACGGCGTCTCGCGGAGTGTTACTAATTTTCCCTTTAACGTGAATAATTAGGACGTGTGTTGGTGCATTTTAGATACATGTTATCTTATCAAGGCGTACACGTTTGAAACACCGAATGCATCGCTTCTTCTTGCGACAACTAAGAACTACTTCGCACGGCGTTAAAACAAAGCAAAAAACTGGTGCTTTTTTTTTTTTTTTTTTTTAGAAGAGGAAGGCGAGGATTGTAATGTTCACGCTTCTTAAATTTTTTATTCGTTTTTCAGGTGTTCTTATTATCAAATACCGCAGCTCGTTGACTAAATAAAGAGCGATAAGGAGACGAAAAAAAATATTTGCGATAACGGAATGAAAGTTTCGGTCGTATAGTGCTTGACCTGGTTTTTCGCGAGTCTGGCGAAAGTTCTGGTATATCTTGTTTCTCGTATTCTAAATGCAATACGCATAAAAAAGAAAACACGTTCTTGCGTACACATGGGGCATGACAACACACTTGAAATGGCCTAGTAAAAGAAAGGCTAATTCGCTCCTTTTGAACCATTTAGTGCAATGAACAAATATAGTGCGTACGCTAATTTTTTATATTAAAATAGTTGGAGTCTAAAAAAAAAGAGAAACGCCATTTTTAGAAGGTCAAGGAATATTTTGTCAAAAATTTCTTAAATATAAAATAATGCGTTTTAATTAAACCTTGATGCTTGCATTCTAGTTATCCTAAAGCTTGTGCATGCCAAAGTTGATTGTGATAGTACAATATATATAGATATATATAAAGAATTCTTGTGCGCACGCTGCGATCGAATATCCCCCAAAATTACAAAAATAGGAGAACGCGTTCGATTGTTGTTGTACAAGTGCCAGAAATCGTCCCCGGCAGGGGAAAAACATATATATTAATTATGTTCTCAGACCTTTTTTCTTTTAGAAATTAAAGCTACAATAGATTGCGACAGAACGGAGATGGCTGGTCATACTTCTCAACATACTAATTGTGATGGTATTCGACTTCACAATTTCACAAACCGCACACACGAACATGTATAATATTTGTGCCTCTTCAGGTCTCCGGGAGGCCCTCAAATGGGTATTTGGCTAATTTCGCGACCATTTATTCGATCCCTTTTTTATACGTAAAATAAGCATATTTATAGGACAATAAAACACACAAAAAACCCCAATCACAATTCCTTTTTTTTTTTTTTTTCTGCGAGATGCCGTTTTTTGATATGTATCTTCACCTAAACTTTCGGTGGCTGTGATCCCCCCCTTCCAGAAATCCCTTGACGTACCGACGACGACGGTGAGCATGGCGTGTCTCCTGGTGGGCAGGTTGTCCAACGTCATCCAGGTCGAGTCCTCGCCGGGTCTTTTGAGCAAGAGCACTTCGTCGACGCTGCGGAAGTCGCCGTTCGGTTCCGTCGCCGTCATGCCCCCCACCAGCAGAAACGAGCCGTCGGAGAGCATCGCCGCCGAGGCTCCGAGTCGGGCAGACGGCAGTTTCGGGCACGGCACTCCCGAACCCTCCATGCTTTTACTGTCCGGGAAAAAAGGGACGCGAATGAACCCTTTTCGAAAGCCCGAGCCATCGTCTGTCCCGTGCATTGCTCGGGCACGTACACTACCCTAGGAACTGACTCGTGCCGGCCGCTACTCGGAAAATGTAATGGGCTACAATTACAAATGACCAAGCCTCAAATGTAATGGATTACCGTTACAAAATACTTTCGCTGCAAAGTAACCGATTACTTTACTCGTTGCGTTACAAATTACATTTATGTTACTTTGCCCGCACGCAAATAAATATATATATTTTTTTTAATTTGCGAAAATGTTTTGTTAGTCTACTTTCCATTTCTCACACGCCCGCATTACGGTACTCCTTGTAAAAATAAAACATCGTATTTAAAAGAATACATGTAGGCGACACTCCGTTTACCTGTATGCTGACAAGGCAGCGAAAGCTGCAGCCACACTCGCCGAACTTCTGCAGAAAAAGCTAGAGGTGCCGGTGCTTACTAGCAGCGTCTACCTAGACAACGACTACTAGGCGTTGTCTTCTTGATTCTTGTTTTTCGGATATTTGTATACGCGTTGCACGTTTTTCTAGAGGTTCTGGTGACCGGTCATACAAAAAATAATATTTTCTTTTTGGTTAATCTTCTCTTCGCGATGTTTTCTGTTCTGTTGAACTTGTTCTCTTTATGCTACTGAACTGTGTGCTCATGTTGCTCCAGTTTCTATATTATGTTCATATTTAGGAAAAGTAACGAGTAATTAAAGTAATCCCTTGTAACGCAATTAGATTACAAATTACTGGCGCAAAATTGTCACGTGACAGTAAACCGATCTCTCAAAGCGTTTGGCGCATGCGCGACGCCGACAAAACTTTAATTCGCAAAAAAAAAAAAAAAAAAGGTGAACGAGGCGGTTCTTGCCTTCTCGTTCTCTACCAGCGCAGAGCTTCGGCGAGGCTGTCGCGCGTGCTCGATGCATTGCGACAGCGGTGACGTGAGCAAACTGACTGGTGAGATGGGACTATTACAAAATTACATGAAAAAAGTAATGGATAACAATTAATCCGTTACTTGCAACACATCACTGCTCAAGTCCGCGTATGAGCATGCATTGGGCACGAAGTCTGCGTGAGTGCTCGGCGTGAACTCGGCTCAGCTCGTATTGGACGCGAGTGCTACGTCAGAGTTCGGCGAGGACTCGGATCCAGTCACGCGCTACGTGCTGCAGAAATGGCGGCCGTCAATGTTGAACTTTTGAAAAAAGATATATATTAAAAAAAAAGAAAAACACTCATGATAATTTTTATTTTCATACATACGTGTTTAGAAACGGAGGGGCGTTACCGTGCGCTCTCAGCTCTTCCTCCTCCACTCTCTCTCTCTGTATCTCTCCGGATAGTGCGGCACGTTTCGGAGCGCCATTGGCGCGTAAAGAAAAATGGTATGAATGAACCAATCAAACAAGGGAAATTAAACTGATATAAAAAATGTTTTTTAGAAATCCTAAATGGGACACGCGTATTAAAAAAGTTACCACGAAAAATAAATATATTTGAAGCAATCTTTACACCGCTAGATGCAATTTAGGTGGTGGTCCCAGCCCACGAATCCCCACCTCGTGCACATGTGCACACACGGTGCTTACATCTCTCATTGGCTGGAGAGCCGATTGACGTGTGAAAGGTTGGTTGTAAATTCGTATCTCCGTGCCGTAAAAGTACTTTGAATCGACAATATTTTTTTTTTTTTTGCGAAACAAATAATTACTATTAGCGGCGAAATGTTTTGGTGGCGCCCTCCTATGGATCCCTCTCGTGATGTCATTATCTTGCGAACAGCAAGTTTCATGGCGTTTGTAAAGAGCATGGTAGAAGCCTGAAATCATTGCGTTCTAAACCCAACACTGCCAACACCGCCAAAATCGAAGTTCTTCCATTACTCTTATTTCCGTCGATGAGACACCCTTTGCTGACGTCATAGTCAGCATTCGGCCAATCGTAAAAAGCCGACCACAGCGACGCTTTCGATCGCGCACGTCGCCAATAGGGGCACTATTGTTTTCAAATGTATTCTGAGATTGCTTCTTCCGCTTTGGTTTTAAACGTTAACAAACATGACTGCCGGCATCTGAGTTGTTTCTTTGAGTTCGTCAGTTTTCGAGAGTGCGAGTCGTTTTTGAGTTCACGGAGCTGTTTAGACGAAAACCTCAACCGAAGTTGTTTGCAGCAAACAACTGCCGCAAATACGGGGGCCTTCGGAAGCGATCTGCTGATGCTTTTTTTTTTTTTTGTAGCGGAACTGGTTTGGGAGCCTAGCGTCCCACATCAGCTATTTTGCTCGATCTGGCTTCATTTTTTTCTTTCTTTGGGAGTGTTGATGCTGAATAAAGGTGCTGGATGCCGTAAAAGCGGCCCCGCTGCTCTCGAAATTGTCCCACCGTCGTGATTGGGACCATGGTTTCTACACCGAGAAGATACCTACACAGGTGAGAATTTCCGAGCCATTTGCCTGGAGGAAATCGGGCGTGCGGCTCGCATCAAGCTTGCCTATATGTTCCCGACATTTGTTTTAATTGTGGGTTATGACGCTCACCCACCTTCCTCGTGGATGAAATGCAAGAAAGAAAAAAAAGAATTAATAATAACAAAAACAGAAGAGCTGGAAAACTGCTCTTTTTTTTCTGTCCTCCCGGTCGCTTTTTACTGCACATCCACAGACGCTGACAGGTGCTTGTATTGTACCGTGGCTCGTGCACGATGGAAGGCGAGAACGCAGCCTTCACGGTCGCGTCTTGCGGGTGTGCGATTGTTGCAAAAGTTAGAACGCAGCAAGCCGGCGTCCAGCGTTTAGGTTCGCACTCGAACGCGTTCAACGAGTGGAGCGGAGACAAGCGCACCTAGCTTTATGTCTACCCACTAATCATTCGAACCAGAGCTCGGCGTTCTGACGTCACCGCGAGCTCTAGTTTTCTCCTCTCCCCCACTTTTTAGGCACATACATCAACACGCTGCTTACAAACACTCCCGTGTTTGTCCATACCGGGTGTGTGATTTGCGTGAGGCGTCTGCGCATGCGCCAACAGCAGCGCCACCTGAGTGGCGCGTGACTATGGTGCCTGCAACGCGTCTCCGACTGGTGTGTTTACCGCGTCTAAAAAAAGTGCTGCTTCGATTTCTGCCCGGTAACGTTATAGACGTGTCATGCTGTCGCCGGTCGCGATCCTGACGGTGTTCCAGCAGCGGCGGTGTATGTGGCAGATGCCTGTTTTGCTGCAGGTCGCTCTCCAATGAGACAGCCCACGGAAGCTTTAGCAGCAAGAAGTTGGGACGCCATGAGAAGAGTGACACTTGCGTTCGCTCGTGCTTTTCGCCAGCATTTCTACGTCTAACCACCAGGATCGCGACATGCAACAGCGTGCCACTCCGGCTCCTGTGACGTCATTTATTGCCACATAGCTAGGGACCACTTTTGATGTACGGGCAGGACAGGATGCTAAACACACCAGTCGGAGACACGTTGCAGGCACCATAGCGTGACGTCGGCGAGTTGAGTTGCGCTTTGAAACGCCCAGTAGGGGAGACCGACTGGCCGGACTTCCCGGCTCTCACGTGAGGTCCGGCAGGTGGAGCATGCAGACGTCGCTGGTGAGGTAGACCTTCTTGGAAGCACGGTCGGCCCTCGTCGCGCCGCCGGCGATGACGACGGAACCCTGCTTGGTGACGGCTGCTGCGGCCGCCATGCGCGGGCAGCACAGGTGGCCCTGGATCACGTGCCACCAGTCCTGCTCCGGGTCGTAGCATTCCACGGAGCCCAGGAGCCTGGGAGATTTCAATGGGCGCGTGCCTCTTATGGGTCTTATGGACCGTTCCAGTAATGGCCTCCTGTGCGCCGCCATCTTTGTGTACTGGGCTGTGGATTGCGTTTTGCGCATGCGCGGGAGCTCTGCGCTTGGAAGAAGCGGACGCCGCAAATGCGTCCACAGCCCCATGACTCGGCGTTTGTCTGGCGTGTGATGAGCGCCGCAAAGACGTATAGGCCTTTGCTACCTCTTTGTTTAGTCCCCTATCTAGAGAGCAAGTCGTCCGTTTCTTGCCCGGGGGTTGCCGTGTCGTCAGAACGAGGCCTACTTCTAATTGTCTTTGATTGGAAGGATAGTGGGGAGACCTCAATTCTAAATGCCTTGATGTCTACCCACTATATTTTTCAATCAGCCAATAAGAGCTCGGGGTTCTGACATCATCGCAACCGCTGTGCATGAAGCAGACGAACTTGCGCTCCACATCGGCGACGTGCGCGAAAAAAAAGGTCTCTGTGGTCGGCATTCGCGTTTGATGTTCACTATGACATCTTTATTTGCATTAATTTTGTTTTTATTGACGGAAATAAGAACAATATCAGAGAGTCAATTTTGACGGTGTCGGTTCAAGAATGCGACGACTCCAAGCTTCGTTTGTGCTTTTTAAACACGCCACCTAACTTGTAGTTCGCCATTGGTGGTAAATAGCCAGGAATACAACTCTTGACGTCAGGGAAATGCAAACCGTAGCCGTGACGTAACGGACGGAAGTCATAAGAAGGCGCCGCTCGCGTCTCCAATTGGTGTGTTTACCGCGTTTAAAGAGCGGTCCCTCGAGGCAGAACTGAGGACGCGTTCAAGGCAAAACTGAGAAAAAAGAGACGTCTCCCCTTCACTCGTAGAACCCGTTCAAGCGCACCTCGGCTTTTGTTCGGCTTTGTTTGTGGCTGCACGCTTGAGGTTCCCGACACTCTGAAGCGTTATCGATGGTACAAAGCGTTCGCTAGAGACGGGACTGCTGAAATTCCCCTTTGCCGCGTTCTTGATGTCGGTGAATATCAGCACCGTTGTGTTTTGTTGGCGCCCTCTTAATCTCCACCCGTGCCGTCACGACCAGGATTCGACTCTTCGTGACCTCACCTGTTGTGAACTTGGCTACTTATCGTCAGTTACATTAGCAAGCTTGATGGCGTGTGTGAAAGCAAGGCGGAAGCAAGGGGCCGTCGCGTTTTTATGCCATCACAGCCGAAATGGTCAGTTTGACCTGCTCATAGACCGGTTGTTTGGACATTTACGGAAAGCCGACTATAGACCCTTTTTATGGCAAGCGCCACCAGGCGGTCCTTGACGTCCCATAGAACTTCCGGTTCATAAAAAGAAATGTCGATGAAACGTTTAACCACCAGTGCTCCAGGTGAACGCCAAAAGAAAGAAGAAGCGCGAGGTCTGTTAAACCTTTTCGAATATTCTTGTAAACCAACCTGTCTCCTCTAAGACTTTAAATTGTACAGCCGAGGGCCCTCGTTATATCCCCAACTTTGATGTACGTGTAGGATTTATGCTTTCTAGCTCTGGTGACATAAGCAAGCTCCACAGACTTGCAAAGACGGAGCGACAGGAAGTCGCTTGGAACGCTAGCGACGGTTCATGTTGGTAAACAGTAAAAGACTATTCACCAATGTTGGTTGGCAAACAAGCTCGCTACCGCCCGCTACCGGCGGACCCCTGCTCACTTCCGGTTTTCTTCTTTTCTTTTTATCTTGCATAATTTTGTTACTTGTACTACTTTCTCCAATGCGCGCAGTTTCTTAAAAACGTATTACGGGTACTTCTCCGAAGAAAAATTATACCCGATCGCTGTACCGGAAGCTTACTGGGGCACCAAACACTGTGGCGCTTTCGGGGTATCGACTCCTGCTGAATGCGGTGAACAGCGATGCTTTTGGTCGGGCATATCACTATCGAATTTTGTCTGTTTCATACTTTAGCGCCATGTTCCAGGGTAGAAAATCCAGCCGTCAGATGACAAAAAAAAAAAAAAAATGTATACAAGCTTGAAAACCTGGTAAGCACAAAATGTCGGATAGACCTTCCAGGCAGGAAGAGAAGCGCGTGTGAACGGCACCACCTATCGAAGATTCGCTCTCATTTCTGACACACGCCGTGAAACTAAATCAAAAAGGTGACTCATTTCATTGCTTTACGAACAAAAAATGTTTCAACAACAAAGCGCTCGACCCCGCGCGACCAAGCTTTCGCGTCAAAGAGTTCGCTTTTTCGCGTTCCGAGCACCGACATTAAATAGCTCAATCAACAATAAAAAATAAATAAAAAAAGAAAGGTAGCTCAGTTAGCAATCATTTGTCTCGCAATCGCATGGAGGTGAGTTCAAGCATCAAATCCCCTGCCGGGGACTGAAGTCTTTCAATATAATTCCCTATGGGCGTATACACTTTTCGGTATCGTTTTTTTTTCCAGCCGGCTGTTACACGCGGCCGTTACAGTAAAACATTACAGAACTCCACAGAAATCGTCTAAAAAAAACACATTCGTTTTTTAGACATTTTTGTGTAAGGCTCGCCAGAATATTAGGCGCTGGAAAAAATCAACCGTCTGCTCATGCCCTTATATTGAATTATTTTTCCTCACGTTCCGCCCATCGAAAAGAGCGAAGAGACCAAGTATACGCGCCTGATCTCGCCACACCACCGTCTTATACCGCAGAATAATGTATTTCTGCTATAATGACCGAATGTAAATAGACGCACACTCGAACGCGGCGTCTGAAGTCAGCTACAGCCGCGGCATCTTCCACATGCCATCTGTTACTAAAGCCGGGGTCACACTGCTCATACCATCATACAAAAAGCAGTCTGCAACCACGAGTCACCGCAATACCCGTGGTTCGAATGCCGCGTGCCAAGTTTTCTCCTGGAACTCATTGCCATGCGGTATTCGAAGCATGAATCTCGCGATGACTCGCGTTCGAATCTGCATGCAGACTCTACCGGGTGATTCAAGGAGACGGCAGGCTCTTTAAATCGACCGGAAAATTCGGTTTCTTAACCTATCGCGCTACGTCTTTGTGCAGCGTTGCCCACAGATGGTGCATTTTTTTGTAAAATTTGCAAAGAGCGAACTTACCTGAGGAAAAAGTAAAGAAAGGAAAAGGCTTAGCTCCTATGGAAACGCAGCGACGCCACCGGTCTTCAAACAACACGGCGCCGTTTCGCACGGGAGACAAGAGATGGCGCAAGCGGTCGCGACGCCAGCTGCCGCCAACGAACGAGCAGACGACGCCGAGAGCCGGCGTATTTAGCAGACAAGGAACTGCAGTTCCTTGTTGTTACCGCGCCTGTTTTTGTTTGTGCGACTGTCGCCGCTCGCGGAACGCGCTCCGCTTTTGAGTCGAAAAGGTTGCCTGCTAAAGACGCTGGCTCTCGGCGCCGCATGCTCGTTCGTTGGCGGCGTTCGTTGCGCCATCTCTTGTGTCCCGCGCGAAACGGCGCCGTGTTGTTTGAACACCGGTGGCGTCGCTGCGTTTCCATAGGAGCTAAGCCTTTTTCTTTCTTTACTTTATCCTCGGGTAGGGTGGCTAGAGAGTTGGGTGTGTCGAGCGCGCCGGCTCTCCCATGCATCGCCGCGGCCGGTTTGAAAAATCACCGTCAGGGGCGCTCAAATCAGCCTGTATGCTAGGCGCGCGCAGCTGGCGCACTGATTTCCGTGCGGCAAGGCGGGTAGCGACGAGTTCACGCCCGCTTTCATCTGTTCTTCAGCGCTCGTGTGAATTTATTTCAACCGTTCCTGCATGCCCGTCAGTCAGGTGACACGCGGAGACCATGGACATTGCCCCGTCAACCTCCGGCGTAAAGAAAAAGCAGAGAGCGAAGCACTGCTTCGTTCCAGGATGCACGACAGGCTACAGGTCTGCAAAAGAAAAACGCACGTTGTTTAGCGTCTCGAAGGGCCCAGTCCTCTTCTCTCAGTGGGACAGGAATATTTCGAGGGGAGACACGCATCTTCAGGAAAAGTCTGTGGTGTGCGCACTTCACTTCGACGAGCGGTACATCGAGCGATACTTCTCTAAAGTATCGCTCGATCCATTCGAGATATCGCTGTATGAGTGATGTTTTGGGGCTCGTAGCGTCCTGCTGAACACGTCTGCGGCAAGCGTTGGGAAGTACTTTAAGTATATTGTACTTAAACTACAATGCACTTAAGTACATTGCACTTAAATTACTACTTAAATTAGATTTAGGAAACTTGTACTTTACTTGAAGCACATTCTTTGAGTATGTACTGTACTTTTTGTTCTGCTACATTCCGAGGAAAGTACAATTCCCGACTTCAAAGAACATTCCCCGAATTTGGTTTTGTTAAATTTGTATCACGAAATGACGCTTTGTCAACTCCGAAGAAATACTGGGAGGGATATTCTACTCTCACCAGAAACGTGCAGCAGACGACGCATCGCTCCATTTGTTCTGGGGGCGGCGTTCCCGTAGCTTTTTAAACCCTCGCTACTTCTCTGTCGGTCAGCGCAAGCAACGAGGTTTAAGATATCAGAAGAGCAAAATTAATCATAATGTATCACCTGAGACTGTGGTGCGAAAAAATTAAATTTTAAAGTCGAAGTAAAAGACAACAGAGGAGGACGTCACAATGTTTTAAGACATTCTCTTTTGTCTTTTCCTTCTACTTGAAAGTTCCTTAATTTTTTTCGCACCCAAATCTCAGGTGTCACGTTATGATTAATTATCACCAGCTCGCTTGCACACGAGAGGACATTTTTCTATGAGAGCTAGGGGGCTGACGTCATGCTCCGTCCTATTACATTTAACCCCCTTGGGTGCTACAATCCAGTGAAAAGGGTGCCGGCTCCGTTCCTAACAAAAAAAAAAAAAAAAAAAAAAAAGCTACTTTGTGGTTATTTGACTTCATCAAATATTCGCCGCTGTTTTTGGGGCATTGCACCCTTGAATACCCCTGGGCAATGCATACCAATTAAAAAAAATCACTGTATAGGGGAATGAAAGGGCATCATGAAAGGTTGTGTTAAAATACTTGTACTTTACATTGAAAGTACATTGTACACATCGCGACACTGTTAGCGCGAACACGACATCGGCGCAATTTTGCATTTTACTTCTAAATAGTATTAGCGAGCACGAAATTTTATCGTTTACATTATAGAACTAAATAAGCTCTTTTCGTATCAATAATAACTTGGATGACATCCCTTGGTTTCAAAGAGAAAAACTGGAAAAACCGGCGATCGCTTGTTCGCGCTAACAGTGTCGCGCTCTGTACTTCTAATTCTTTACTTCAAGTATGTTGTTCCCAGTGTATTTCATACAAATTTACTTAAAGTACATCGCGTCTCATTTACTCTTTACTTTAATTACCTGATGTATCTTTTAGATGTATTTTACCCAACGCTGACCTTTGGCGTCGTCAAGAGGAAGGAGCGGGCGTCAGTGACAGACACGAGCCTAGGAATGTATGCATGCATGTACAACAATAATCCTGTGTGAAAGAGGTTGTGTAAAAGACGTAAATAAAATTCGGAATGTTTTTCGTCTTCAGCGGTGGTTTGCATTCGCAATCCCCGTTTTTAGCGTCTGCATGAGAGAATTCACCAAAAAGCACCGGTATTGGTGAAATAAATAGACGCCGATAAACATCCGCCCATTTTTGTTATAAATAAACACCCTATGATGTATATTGTGTTACTTCGCTCACTCTCTTTTAAAATCGATTTTGTATTTCATGGCTAGTTTTCCACGTCGCATAAACATTTAAATTGCCAAAAATGCATTGTTTGCTTTGTGTCATGACAACTTTTTGCGTTGTTTCTCGCCAGCCATGTCTGCTCTTGAATCACAGAAGAATTGCTCCAGAAGTATCCAGCGTCCTCACACATATTTTAATGTTAAAGTGCCTGAGCCGTTCAGCGTTGATTCATTTGATAGACGTAACATAGCGGCTTGCAACGTGAAATTTCGTCACGGCTGCTGATACCTCGGCGGACGTTTCACGTATTTTGAAAACATAGTTAGTACGCGAGAGAAAATAATAATAAAAAAAAATTGCCCCATTTTTTATATTACCCCGAGAGCGTTGCGGTGAGAAGAGAACGACTTCAAGTGCGGATTTACCTTCGTCGAAGCTCCAAAATCGGGTCGGCTATCGAATCCAGGTTTATCAGACTTTCATTATGCCACACCAATTAATTTTGTAAAAAAACACAGCCGACAAGTGGCCGGGAAAAGGTCCGCACGCAGCGCATTTCGGCCCCAGCGCAGCCAAAGTGCCGCTGACGCCGCGGTCGGATAGCATACAGGGCTTCCGAGGCGCCTCCTGGCGACAGATTTCCTTTTGGTGCCGCGCGTCGGCCGCCGCTCGACACACCCAACTCTCTAGCCACCATACCACGAGTAAGATCGCTCTTTGCAAATTTTACAAAAAAAAGAAAAAAAAAAGCACCATCTGTGGTCAACGCTGCACAAAGTCGTAGCGCGATAGGTTAGGAAACCGAATTTTCCGGTCGATTTAAAGAGCCTGCCGTCTCCTTGAATCACCCGGTATTTTGTATGATGTATAAGCAGTGTGACCCCGGTTTAACTGTAGAGGAAATCTAGCCTGCGGCTGTTTCGGACCATAGCAGGCGTACATCCCCGAGCGGCAATAGCAGACGGGCTGTTTGAGACCCCAGCAGACGGACTTTACTGGACACAGCGGACGGACTCTACCATGTTGACCTCACCAGACACGCTTTACCATGCGAAGGGAGACGGCGAAGTGGAGAGATGAGGTGAGTACTTCAAAGGAGTTCGAAATAACAACTTCTCGCGGATGGCTCATTTTCTCTAGCTCCTAATATTTTGACGACGCCCACACGAAAAGTATATGTTTAGCTCGTGAGTATGACGAAGTTTCTTCTACTGCAACATGAGGCTTAAATATGATCTGCCTAATTTTATGTATACCGACAAAACCAAAATGAGTTTTTTTTTTTTGACCAGGGCCGTCTACCAGCCGTCTGTTAACAAGAGCGCTATTTTGTGAGAATTTTGTTAAAGATAGGCGCAAGAAAAAACAAAGTTGCGAACAAAGTGTATATGACGTGACATTCATACGTAGCTACCTCAGAGAAGGCCTCAACGCTATATATAGCCATGCTTGCTGCCCCCAGAACTTACGCGTCATCGTTGCCTTGTCCTCCAATGGCGTAGATGATTCCTTCGTGAGCGACCAGCATGTGGAAGACGCGTCCCAGTTTCAGGTTGGCTATCCTACGCCACTGCAGAGTCGAGAGGTTGTACGCGAAGCAACACTTGGAGGGCCGCTTGAGCTTCAGGTAGGCCTGCCGGAGGTCTAGGCCACCTGGACAACACAAATCAAAGAGAATTGGGAACAGACGAGTCAGAAAAAGGAATAACGGGCAGGTGGAGGCAAATACTCAGACGTTATGACACACTGTCTAATGTCCGACGGGTTGTAACCCTCACATGTAGATATGGGCGTAAACAAAATAGTATAAATAAACCAAATAACGGAGTCCATTGCGCATTTTCACAAAGATGTCTTTTGGTGGCGCATTTATCATAATAATTTTTTTTTTATCAAAGTAGGTTTTATGAAAAAATGAAGTCTCAAAAACGTTATTTTCTCTATCTACAGGAAGGAAAGCGGTAAAAATCATCTGGAATTGACGCTGTAGTTTACAGATGGTACAGCATAAACCAAAAATGGAGCAGTTTCCTTGAGATGAATAGCCAAAAAAAGATTCAACGAATCCGAGCGTGTGTGGCACCACATGTGAGTAGAAGTTTTAACCTGACGGTTTTTGCCGTTTTCCTTTTTGTACATATATAAAAATAAATGTTTTTCTAGGTTTAATATATTTTACTTAAACTAAAACTCATGAAATTTATTTATGATAAACACATCACCTAAAGACACCTTTGTGAGAAGTTTCGGCGGTCTCAGATTATTGGTGTATATACACTATTTTTTTTTTACGCCCGTATAGCACTATAAGACATCCTGTAGAGCTATATTTGATTGAAGAAGAGAGAGGAGTCTGGAACGTCACCGCCTCGCCACTGAGCCGGTGTGGCGATGGTTCCCCCGCATATTCGAGAAACGCCGTCAGACGGTGCAGCATGTAAGAGACCGATAGGAACCGATCGAGGAGCCGTCCTTATTCGCGCATATGTTTTATAAAGTCGTTGCGGGGGACCGCGCTTGAGTGACGCGCCAAATCGACAGTGCTCCTGACGGAAAATGAGCGAAGCCTGAGCGAATTATTATTTTTTTTTTTTTGCCGCCTTGGCACAAAAGCTTCAAAAAGGCTGCTTCAATGTGACGACACCTCAGCCGGGAACGAAACAGAACAGCAGAAAAAAAAAAAAAAACTAGCACGCGAAAAAACAACACGCGTCAAAACAGCACTGCTTCAGAACAGCACTGGTTCAGAACAGCACAGCGACAGAACAGCACAGCGCCAGAACAGCACGCGTCAAAACAGCACGCGAAAAAACAGCACGGTGTCAAAACAGCGGAGCGACAGAAGTGCTACGTGTCCAAAACAGCACACGACAAAACAGTACGCACGTAAATGAGTGCTGTTTTTTCGCTATTGGACACATTATTAGCAGCACACGCCTTAATAAAGTACGTGAACGACTCTTTTTTCGCGGGCTCAGTATTCCGCAATTTGGGCAAAAGCTGACATTTTGGAATAATTCGCGGGTTCTAATCTTCGCGGCGCGGTGGGACCTCAATATAGATTCCAATGTGTTTAAATTTTACCGGAATTGTTCGCAGGACCTATGTTTCGCGAATGTATTCGATTCGCGAAATTCGCGAAAATTAGGGCCTCGCGAAAATTAAGTCGTTTACAGTACTGGCTGCTGACCTGTTCAGCAGAACCTGTATTTTCGTTACATTATATTATCTTCCATTATATGATTACATTACTACCTGCTCCGTTCTGTTTTACAATATTCTTATAGCTTTTCTTGCACGTTCAGTAATATAAAGTGGCTTAAAGTAGAACTTCGCCAGCAACATTATTTCGTAGGATAACGCGAGAAAACGTATTTTAAACTGAATAAAACGGGAACCAAAAACCACCCCGTAGATATCTGTGAAGCTTCGGTGGAAACAAGTTAGCGAGAGCAGCGCCACAACGGGAAGTGCGCTCACTCATAGAGATTACTTAGGCCTGGACGTACACAGTACCGAGGCGCTTTAATGAAGAACTCTGCCATTCGCTTAAGTATCGGGTGGTGTTTCCGGCAACGCTTGTTTAAGGTGGTTTCGGGATTGTGTACGTGCGATCTAATATCGACACTACGAAATGTCGATTTAAACGGGCCCGAATGCCCACTTGTTCTGATGACAGGAGAGCCGCTTTGGTCGACTGCAACGAACTCGATCGCGACGAAGTCAACACAACTACCATCGTTGAGGAGACGACCATACGGCTCTGCAAAGTGGCGCGCATGTAAACAAATCGCTGCGGCGTTTTTCGTGGCCTAGAGGAGGCGGGAGGGAGCTGATGTCGCAGAAAGATACGTTTGAACTAAAATAGTGTCAGTCAGATCAACGTAAATACCTGTTCGCACTGGGAGCAAAACCGCACTGGCGCCGCGTTCTTACTATCCGATTCGGGAACCATCTTTTACGACCAATTTAATGAACCGCTGGGCCTCTAGACAATCGCAACTCGGTGCTGACGTGACGGTCGGCAGAGAAAGATTGGACCGACATTGAGTAGCTCCCAACAACTGCTCTAGCTCGACATGCGGTGGCTACCGTCATGTCGGAATAAAATAGACATACTAGAAAAAGTGTACCCACTCAAGTTGCGGAGGCAATCCATATGGCGTTTATTTGAGCCCTTTAACACAAAAAAAGAAGATAGGATCAAGGAAAGTGTTCCTTTTCGATGAGAGTGTTTGCCACCGCTTCATCTGAAAACAAGTTAGGGACGACGAGGAAAGGCTCCCCTCGTCTTTACCCCAAAAATAGAGATCAGATGAGAGTGTTTGCCACCGCTTCATATGAAAACAAGTTAGGGACGACGAGGAAAGGCTCCCCTCGTCTTTACCCCAAAATCGAGATCAGGGTTCAAACTATTCATACGAGCAGGGTCCACAAATATCGCGTGGGCATATTCCATTCAGCAAGCCAGTCGGTCGTGTGCAGATGGTCTCATCCTGGGCCGTCGGAGCAACGTTGCGTCGGAGTGCCTTGCTAAGCTTAGCGCTCCGAGAGAGGGAAAGAGAAAGAGAGAGAGCAATTTTAATTAAAACGACTTTTTGCTTAGCGTAGTCCTTGGCGGCCGCTTGGTCGGTGGGATCGTTGTCGTTGCAGCTTTTTCGGGTATTCGTGGTTCCAGCATTTGTCTCCGCCGCCGCGTTCAGTTTCAAGTACTTTTTTTTTTTCTTTTCTCTCGCTGCTTGAAGTCGGGACGCTTGCAGAGAGCACATTGAAATGCACGTTCTTCGTCGCGATGACGTAAGCGAGCCATGTTGCTGGCGATGTGAATATGATGATAAAAAGTGCGTAAACCTCTGGAACTCTACGTCGTAGACGAGGTCGCAGGATTTTATGGTATCTTACGAAAAAACTTGCGATACTTTTGTGAGTACGAATTTCTTCTTAGGTTTCGTCGTAAGATCGTTCCGTGAATAAGCTCTGGTACCTCTTGCGGACGACGAAGACAAGGCTCATACAAATACAACTCTATCTCGAATCGCTTCTCGGCCATCATGGCCACTGGTGATGTAGCGGCGTCTTCGTCGTCCTCACACTCACCGCTTTCGTCGCGTTGGTCGGCCATCACACACTCGAGGCAGCACCGCCAGCTCCGGCGCTCCGCCGGCTCCGGGATATGCTACAGCCCTCGGGTACTTCCACTAAGTGAGATTGTAACTCGTTGACGCATCCAAGTGGCAAAGCTTGTAAGTACGGTACGCTTGGCCCGTCAGGGCATGGCGTTTTCAAGGCCGCACCGTATCTCCCAAGATGCATCGGCCTCTTCGATTGCTGATTTTGAAGCACTCGCTGAAATTCCGTCGTTTAGAACGAACAATATAGTCACCCGCTTAAAACACAACCGTGCCATTGTCAATTACAGGTTTAGCTGATACCATTCGAAGTATTACTTGACGCTCTCGGCATATTTCAAGTTTCCATTTAGTATCCCTCTAAACTTCGAAAGAGGGACTCCGGTACATTTTCTCGATTTTAGGGTTGCGACGGTTTTTAGTGAAGGAAGTGTCCCTGAATTACTAGGTGTCGTGTTTTCCTTTTTTTTTTTTATCGATGCCTCGTACGTGTAGTTTTGTAGATGGCCTACATCTAAATTTTGTCTCGGGGGTTTACGGTGAAACCGAAACTATACCGGCTCGAGCATGATGACAACCCTTGTGATGAACTGCATGGCCATCGCGTGGAGCAAAATTCATACTGCAATACCGGAAAATGTACGACTGGCCTAGTCGGTTCAGCAGTTCCGATCAATCAGATAAGATGCCACGGCTGTTTTACTTCTTTGCTTTGCAGATATCAAATATAGCAAATATAGATGTAGCAAGTATTAATGTGCGTTCATAAGGTTGCCGGCCGAAAAGCGACTTCTCTACGATGAACGCAGGCTCAGCACGAGCCCCCAATTGTCTTTTGAAAATAACTATAATATTGGTGGTGTGCGGTGCACGTTGCTAAAGCTTTGTGGGAGCGAATCGTGCGCTCGTGCTGAACAGGAACGAACTAAACTACGGCCGCCAGTGAATCCTACCTTCGGCATGACGACGTGCTTGAACGAGTAGGGAGTCAGTAATCTTCGTGCGCGATCCCCGACGACCACTAAAAAGCTACGGCCGCTAAAATATCACATAAAAATCAGCAATCGTCCGTTGGGACGGCTGAAAACGCAGCAGAAATACTGGACAAAAGAAGTGGCAGTACGGCCAAGAAACCTCTTTGAAATCAGGGCACAAGGTTGCTTGACAAAGAGCCAACCCGCTGAATGTCCACTGAGAAGCCGGTGATAGCATTTTAGAGCCCAGCTCTTAGGCGCCCGTTTCCGGTTTGAGGGGCTCGCCGTCGGCGTAACCGCGCGTTGCATTATGACGTCATGAGGGTCACGTGAGACGTCACCCTCGTGACGTCACACGACGTTTTAATTCAGCTGGAATATTTCCCCACTAAATTTAGCGGGCAATTTTTCCGCTAAATTTAGCGGGGAAATTTTCCTGCCAAATTTAGCGGGAAAATTTCCGCTCTAAATTAAGGAGCAAAAAATGTTTAACTGAAAAAGTTCTCCAATAAATTTAGCGAAAAAATTATCCCGCTAAATGGGAGGGGAG